GAGTATGAAGGAGATCACGAAACGCTTGGGATGGGGACCGCGTAATCCTCACTGTGCCTGGTTGGAGAAACTACAAGATATGGCTGTCAACCGATGTCAGTGGCGTTCTTGTTGTCAGTTTCTATCCAGATTACCTGAGTGAATGTTTGGAGGTGTAGGCACCTCGAAATGATTGTGTTAAGCTAGCACTAAGTCCCTCCTCCATCCACCTTTATTCTTTTCTTTACAATAAGGTTTTCAAATAAGTCATGGTTGTACGGCAGTGAAGCATCGGTGTTGAACACTGATGTCATGCTGTCGATGATGACATTCCCTATAATAGAACATAGAAGGGAAACAAGTGTACCGAAAACAGTGGTCAGTGAGATGAAACCGAGTCTGGAGGCACATGATATGCAGACATACATGACTAATCCCAAACAAATCGAGAAACAAAATCTTCGCGGGGTTTCTGCATGTTAGTAATAAAGGTTGATTTTCCCATTAGTTACTCTTACAAACCGTTCAGTCGCGGTACCCTTTTGGTGTATAATTTCAAAATAATCTGAGGTAGTCACGATGGCTAACTCCGAACTTTCCGGTCGTGATTCAGCAACTTAACTCCTGGCTTTTACCAATTACCACCATTAGGTGTTCTCACAGCAGGGACCGATAAGCTGCCAACCATTTCGTAAATTTCATTGTTGTACGCGAACACACTGACTCAAATCACCTTCAAAATGACTGGGTTGGAAAACATCGTTCAATTTAATTCCTTTCCCCGTCATACGGAAACCGAGCTTTGGAGGCCTGCCACCAAATACAATAGTCTTGCCAAACAAAGACCACTCTTAGGGAAAGAGAAAAGTGGCCCTTCCTAGAGGGAACACTTTATTGAGCATGCAGAAAACCGATAATGTAGAGGTGAAAAAAATTTAATAGTCATACAACGATGCGTTGAATGTGTTGCATTCCTATTGTGGCTCTCCTTTAAAACACCCGCAAAATGACAGATAACTAAGAAAGATCTCTTCCATCATCTTAAAAAACTGACAACAGTAGACGTTGGGAAATCTCCTTAACAAGCTTACATACGTTAACCCGAATTGGGTCTGAAACCGTGCACGACCATATTCTTTTCACTGCTGTTGTGGCACTCTCTCCAGTCAGGGATGATTCCAGCGTGGATACTGCCTACCCCATTACGTTGAGTGTTTGACAGGTGATGGTACTGCTGTGCATGCTGTGGTATCATCAAGCGGCATTCCCGTCCAACCATCTTGGATATAGGGAGCTCCAATGATTGAAAACCAATCGAAGAGACGAGACGTCAAAATGCATCCCTTTGATTGTCATTTTGTCTCTTTGTTCCCAGAGGAGACCGACCAGCTTCGGCCGATCTTTTGAAACGGTCCGTCGGGAGAGAACGCATGCACCGGTGTTTCTGATCAACCTTTCCAAGTGGCATCCATTTTTACCATTTGTTTGTATGCAATTATCGCCCCTGATGATGACCTCCCCCCTATAACTCAAATTTTTTGCGCACTAAAAGAAAACCACGAGTGACAAACCAGAATATGATGTTTATTAATTCATTTGTCAGACAGTTTTCACTGACACCTTGAGTTTCGCGAACTAAAACGGACAGCCTACCCATAGACAGTCGCGCTGGCTGCGACTAGCGATATTGTAATCAAGCCATTAACAGCCCTCAAATGTGCACCCAGTCAACCACCTTTGTCAGGTATCCAAAAAACGGAACATGGTGATCTGAGTACGAAACCAACTATATAAATGAACGCACACACAAGCTTACAGGATTAGCCAGGTACAATGACTGCTAGCCAACGCATAAGCACACATAGGCAGTGTACGCAAAAACTAGAGTATCGAGCCAGGTCGACTTGCGTACACTGACAGATCAATAGATGACATCCGTGAATGAGCGTGTTGTGATAATCACTGATGTGGTCACCAAGGCAAACGGAAACCAGTTGGCCTGAGAGATCAGAGTAATTCTTGTTGAACACTGGGATCGCACGGTCATCAGACCGTTGGTTGAACTTCGTCCTGGTTACAGAATGTTCGATTGGTAAGTCTCAGAGATCGTCAGTTATCAAAAGATTCGGTCGGGTTCTGTAATTGTTCTAAGAAGTGATTGATTCCGTTTCCATAAGACATTCATTTTGACGTTATTGGCTTTCTAGGAAAACAGTGATTGTGACGTCTATCATTTTAGGAAACTTGATAAGCGACACTTAACTTAATAAGGCCTAGCTTGCCAGATTAAGGATACGAAGTGCACTCAGTAGCTCTTTCTTTTGATTTGTGCTTATCAAAACCAATGGAAACCCCAATCAATCGCACACGGATATAGATGGACGCCGTAAATGATTATGAAGACGATGGGGAGGAGTAAGAGTGAGCCCGTTCGTTCGCAGGACCGATTAAATGAACTGGTCAACAAAAATGAGCAACCCGGGTGAGTTGTTATGAACCAATTGATGAGTAACAGTCTAATTAAAGTCCCCTTAAAACAAAAGATGGGAATTAGTAAATTGTGTATATCACAGAACTACTTTTCCGTTCGCACATTTCAATACCGTAAAAGCAATAGCCACACAGTGAATATTCGACACGCAATGTTGAAAAGCTTTCGGCACCCCGGGCAGTTAGTTGTGCACAGAAACAGTCTTCACGAGAACTATTTGACACTGGACAGGTGGGGACTATCTGAGGCCAATGTCTGCGCGGTTTCCAAAAGTGTGGGAACAAAACGAAGCCATAAGGCTAACTGGGAAAGACAGTCAATAGAGACGTACTGGATTATATTCCACTGGGCATGAGATTTAGGAGCAGAAATCTGGGACGTACGACTAACCAAGATGGTCAGGAATCAAGTTGTTTATTATCATTACAGTCTCATTGAAACACGCTCGACAACGTAATGGTTGCCATCCACACCTAACTCTGGTAAAACTCGGAGACATCGTTAGAGAGGTCTCCGTTTCTCTGAACACGTGATCCGTGTGAACTGGAAATATAATTGATGAAGTTTATACAGATTTGAATTATTTTCTTGTGGATTTAAACGTGTCAGAATGATGGCGGAGAGGTAATTAAAGTAGCTTTATATAAGACACTGTTTGGTGAAGCCGGCTTATCGCCCCAGAATGGATGAAACTGGAGTGGTCTGGTGTCCAAAATCCAGACACCGGGAATAACTTGAGAGAAGTGGCGTTCCGTCCTTATTTAAAATAAGGAATAGTTTTGACCGGCCTTAAATAATCGCGCAGAGAACAACTGAGTGTCTACAGTTATCTAACCACGCGAATGAACGCAGCAAAGATATGCAATGTACTTCTCATAGCGGTTTTGGTGTGCACAAGTATCCCGGCTTCAGCAATAAAACAGCCGTTTCATATATCTAAATTGCCGACACCGACCATACACTGCCTTGAACAACATGCATATGGACTTGTGGGCTTGAAGTTAGGAAGAACGGAGCCAGCTGAGATTTGGCAAAAAATGCCCTATGCGATTTAGGAGCACTCTCCGACCCACAGGTGCGTAATGACTTCCGTAGAATACTCCGTCACTGATATGTCAACCGGAATGTACATATTCAAACAGCTGTTCAATATCGACGATTTGAGTTCTGAAGAAAACTCGATATCATTCCATAGATCAAACCCGAGACAAAATTGCACAAACAGAACACATTTAATGGACATTTTGGGTAGAGCCGGCGTTTGATTGCAGTGAATATCCCACCTGGACTTTTATCTCAATCCAGGCGAGAGTTAATGTTCGACTTCGTGAACGCGATTCACCCGTTGTAGAGGCGTCCGTTCATCGACTAAGTTACAAAAACCTTTTGCAACTCCGACGCGGGATACGTAATTGGCAGTGCGGAGAAGATATATGACCGGAGAAATCCATCAGTGTACCCAAAACAGGAGGGAAGAAGCGCAGTACAGAACAGTACGCTTCGTATTTTGTTTAAGGCGGGTATTTATAGTCCCGAAGCACAAAAATTCGTAGATTGATCGAGAAGAAAGGAGTGAGTAGAATGATGCAGTTCTACTATCACAGCTTTAATCACCATGTTTCCAAAAAAGGCCCTCCTCCGAATGAATGGTGAGTGCCGGGATGGTTATGCCGACGGAATATCATCAAATTACTTCAATTATTAGGCCGTACTGAAGTTTAGGTGGTCCCGTGACAAATCATCGTGGCCTGAAAAACTGGGGTCGAATTAGAAATATACCTCAAGAAAAGACAATACGACATTGCGTGAGGTTATACGACGGAGAAAAATCGACTAAGAACAGGTGCCCTGTAGCGTATCTACTAAGAGAGTCACGGCGATGGAGTAAGTAAATGGCTTAACTAAGCTTGACGTGACCGAACAATCGGTACAGAAAGCCCTTGATAATGGCATAGTGAGTTCACTGGGCCTGTGGACAATGCTCCACTATGCGTGTTCATCCTTATCATCAGGAATCTGAGACCCTGAGTACTACAAACGTTTCACTGACCCTATAAACTCCCATCTTGACATCACGCGAGTAGAAGCGAGATATCCTGACATGAAAAAGAATGGACGCGGGCGAAACACAAGCAAATACAGCTGAGAAAGCTTTCACCCTTTGTGAGCACACCGTGCCTTACCTCTTCTAGTATGTCGCGAAAGTCATCCTGCTCGTGGGCGGGTCGACAATGTCCACAGCAAAAGTTACAGCAACAACAGCAGCACAAACAGCAGCAACAACAAGAGAGGATGAACAGGGTACCCAGGCAGCACTGATAAGAAGGGAACAGAGAGAGAGAGAGGAAGGAAATGAAGCTATAGTAGGTGACGATGATTAAAGTTAACTGATGACCCATTAACGAACTTCGCCACAAAATTTAAACTGACAAAAGCAGTAGGAGGCTAAAAACGGTGATTAAGCCTCAAAGTGAAGTTTGAGAGCAAAGACAGGGCGATTGTCCGACGAGCCAACAGTAGAGATATGAAGTTTAAGCAAGCCAAGGTGAAATAGCATAACAATAACGGTTTAGGCTCATTCTGAATATTCAGATTGTGGTTTCTAGAAGACACACGGTGACCCGGTATGTGCCTGAACACCACCGTGTTCGTATTGTGTGCACTTTGACTTCCATTCAGAAACATGCATAGCAATGAAATTATTGGATTAACTGATACCACCAAACCAGGAGGTGAGCAATTCCAATTCCGAAAGAGTAATCAGGACTGGGTGTCGCCATTATGATTCGAAATCTAATTAGAAGGATGTTCAAAGTGCAGGCATCTTGAAATGCTTGTCATTTTGAAGCTAAGAACTCTTCTGGTTATACGCTCGTTTGTTACTCCAAGGTTTTCTTAAAGCCAATGTTGTATGCCGGTGAAACACCAGAGTTAACACGTGCTTTCTTTACAACGATGATGAGAATAATTCTCTTCAGTCCCAGTAGAGCGAGTCAGTCAAATCCGATCCTAGTGCTTTTTTCTACGAAAACTATACGGAATATCTCATTACGCAAAAAATGGGCATGTATGAGGAAGCACGAACTACAAGTGGAGACTTTTCATACAAAGTGGATAAAACAAAAGTAACAAAACAGGAACAAATAGTGACTACACAACGTGGGTTGGTCTTCGTTTGGTAGAAAACCAGAAATTCTACCAGACCACTGTAGGGTACCGAGACTGGCGGGGGTTAACCTATGTGCCCTCTACGAAAGAATTTTCCAAAAATATAGTGAAGAGATCGCTTGTATATCAGCATAGTCTCTTCGCAAAAGGAAATGATTGCTTTGTAATGTTTACACTCGATCTGCTTACTTGAAAACCAGAGCAACATTACTCATTCTAAAAGTGCGAAATATTCCATATTTTATCTACTTTTCTGTCGACCGGAACAGTCAAGTAACGCCGTCAGGCACAACTAACTGATGGAAGCGCACCTGATCCTCAGACTAACCATATTATTCAGACAGTTTGGGGGGTTCGAAAAAAGTGGAGTTCGGTTAAAAAGACTTATATGTGCAGAAGGATTAGTGTGGTGACTCAGAAAGCGATGAAGAGAGATCTATCGAAATAAACATCACTCGAATGAGGAATCTTGGGAGAGATTGAAAATGAAGGAAATGCATAAGTTCTCGCAGCCAACAACAGTTGTGGGTTGCCGTCAGCTGTGGATTGACAAATGGACAAAGGTAGTTCAGACGATTCTATAGCCCAGTGATTACACGATTAGAAATAAAGTTTATACTACCAGGTGAGGAAGACGATTAGAAGGCGGACAATGTGGGTCTTAGAGTGACAAGTACTGCTTGTGTATACCATGGCGTGTAAGCAGAGTCACTCTTGTGACCTGGAAATCCACCAACTGAGTTACCTCGTTGCTACAAAACTGATCCTCCGTTTTATATTGTTTGCTTCAGACAAATAACCCCCTTATGAGGTAACCACAATAAACTTTCGTATGCAACCAGTTGTGTCGACAGTCGTGCATACGCATTCATACACAAAACGGTTGTTCACGGACGAAAGCCGAATCTCAAGATGGATGAAGGGCTCAAATTCTTCAGAAAGCTTCAGTCAGTCAACCAGATATCGGTTTATGCATTATCCTTCAGCCGAGCGTGGCACCACTTGTGAAACGGCTAAGAATATGATGTTTTTCTAGGTTGTGTTAAAACATGATGCGAGTAGTTTGTCTGTAAGGTATCACCAAGCAGACTTATTCAGCCTAAACGTTCAACGCTAAATCGCACTTTCTTCAGACACAGTGTTCTCAAAGAAGTTTCGGTTTCCGTTCATATGACATAAGGCGGGGTAGGTCAAGCATACAACCAGGGATCATGGACCAAGTAAAGAAGGGTCCGCAACTATCGACCGGACACAAGTTCGTGAAATCAGCAGGTTAAACAGACACAGATGAACGAGTTGTAGATGGAAACGAAATGGAGCGCAAACGAGCAGTCATTCGTCCACGGAGTTGGAGTCTGATAAAGCACAATTACTGGATGAGTCACGTAGCAGCACAAACGACACCAGGATGTTCTCTCCGCGATGACGTAACATTGCGGCAGGACAGCTTTGTTCGGTGTAAGCTGATTAGTTGAAACTTGTTCGCTGTTACAGCATCAGTTGAGAACAATCGTTCGTGATTAGATTCTGTGGATGAGTGAACACTGTCACTCAGAGCAAAATATACATCAAAATATCGTCTAAATAACAAACGAAAACTGAACTAGTTTCAGCATCGTATTTAAAAACCTCAGCTGGGGCATTAAATTCTCTTCATTTATTGAAATCACATCTTTGTCTCATCAGCAGGAGGAGGACAGTCTAGAGGGACAAAACCCCAGAATATTTGAAAGCCAGGAAATAACGGGCAGGTATTGAAAACGGAGGTTAATAAATATCTTGGCGAGTAACCGATATGCACAATTTCATCAATTTCAACGGCAGCGACGAAGTGATATACCGAAAGGCCAAACATCATGAAAAATCTGCTGTCAGGTTTTCAACTAACAGAGGTTTGTTCAGCATCAGACATCAATCTATGTTCTTTGGTGGCTCGGTGATGCCAGTCAACAGAAACGTAAGACATAACAGCACGGTACGATAGGGTCTGGTGTCCGGTATCTACTTCATAAATCATGGGGGTTCATGCAAACGGGTTGCTCTACCGCTACTGATCGCAGGACACTAAGTCCACCATATGTGCAACCGTGGCAAACTACGGACTACCAGTAACGCACAGCTGCCCTCAGATTAGCGCTGTTGCTCAGACAAATTCTACCTCTCCAGGGAACCCCACAGACTCCAACAGCCTCCGGAAAACAGACCGAACTGTTAGCATCTGCCAGACTCATGCACGATTAACCTTAGTCACACAGACAGTATTATGACATGTTTTACCGCCTCCAGGTCTTTGGGCTAGGTTCATTTTTTCACTTGACAGTAGGGATATATCCATTGCTCCCGTATTTTGCATTGAAGAATTATGCACCTTACGAGACAGATCACACCCAGCGTAGCCAAGCCAGTGGCCGATATACTCCGGTGCGTCTACTCTAACTGGTAGTCGCGTCGAAGACTATATTCATTCCACAAGCCGAATAAAGCCGATGCCGGTTGATCGCTCTGCTTTCTTCAAACACTCTCGAGGCCGCATCAGATACGGCTGTTTGTCAGGCAAACCAACTGGTCACTCAGCATCACGAGTCGTGCTGACCTATTGAAGTTATACCCTCATGACCACAGTGATATAGAGTAAACGTGAAGCGATTCAATTTTTTCAGTGAATCGGTGAGTGTGAATAACTGACATCATCAATGCTGTACTACGCGAAGGCCTGGTCTTAGGGTGGTATCAGCAGTTGAGTCAGCTCGTCGGTGCCGGTCTGTATCAAATCCACTACCACGATATCAACCAAATCGAGAACAAGTGGGATGGGATTTTTTCATCTCGTTCCTCGATGGAAATTTATAGCGGATTCCCTAAAGAGGATAATTCGTTGGAATTGGACAAAAAGGTCCATTCAACAGGGGGGCGCCCATTTGGGAAACAAAATTTGGGGGCAGCGTAGTACGTGTTGCGGAACTTGCTTTTCAGAGAGGAATGTTCCCCTTTGGTGGATTTCCTCCAAGATGAGCGCCGCAGTAGAATTTTCAAGCTTATCGAAAATAATGCTCCTAGTGTCAGAAAACCAGTAGCAATCTTGGGCAGCTAAAATCCCTTTCTTTGGTCAAAGACAGCGGAACGTATTTAATACCTAAAAAGGATGACTGTCCTTCAGAGAGCCACAACGAGTGCCCTCCGACACCCACAGCTGGTATGTAATAATCTCGACAAGAATAATCCGGAAGGGGCCGAATACATCATCATCATCAACGACAGCATGACATCAGTGTTCAATATTGATGCTCCACTGCCGTACGCATACGTACTGTCGAATACGAACTTTTCTTATTGCGATCTTCTACAACGATCCTACGATTGGCACCGGTGTTGTAGTAGCCGGCTAAATGCGTTCCTCATGTGAACAGTTTGTGTGCATAGACGTAAGACACTACAGATTTGGTCGCTGAAAACTCATCGACAGTCCATGACCGGTTTCGTCCTCCTCGAGGCTCATCAGGCGGACACAGAAACCTTATGAGTAGTGCACTACGTCTATGCAATGCAGTGCGACATGTATTGCAAAGTGAAGCGGCTTCGTGCAGCACATCCAGTTGAAGAACATCATAAACGAGAGATTCAGTTGAGTCTCCCGTGAAAAACAAATTGGTATGCAAACTAGTGCGTGTCGAATTTCGTGCAATTTGGGTTCAAGCGGAACATGAGACTGACGGAAACTCGAGGACTTGACCTGTCTGATGAGCCCCAAGAAGGGCGAAACTGGCTATGAGTTGTTGAAGATCTTCCAGAAACCTTGACTTTCTCAGTCATTACGAACTGAATTATCGGAGTAGCGCGGTCCTTTTTTGGGTTGGGTAGCCTATGAAGTTATGACTGTCAGGAAGAAGCATAGTGTGGATTTTTCCGAAGAAACCGCCTATCTTCGTTTGTCCCTTGCGGGCGACTACTGCAGTTCTAAGTGCTGTCTAAATGTGTAAATCAGATAGAGCTCGAAATCTGACGTTGTGGTGAGTCACATTGACTTTGAAAAAGGCTACCCTACTTCACCAAATCCGGAAACAGCGGAAACACTGTGTGCGTGCTTGAGACTCAATTCTTTCTAGGTGTAAAGGGTGTACATATTTGGGCATTTTGCCGAGTTAAAACA